AGGGGAAAATCTAGCCTTTGATTTGCCTGGTCGATATGTCAGCTGTATATCATTGCCTACAGTCACCACACTTTACAATAAATCCCGTGAAGCACTTTGAGACATCCTCACGTGAAAGGCGCTACATCAAATATAAGGATTTTTACTATTATTATTATATGACTAGCATATCCATATAATATATTACACTATGTATAATATATACAATGAATATTATGTTATACAATCCGATATTAATAATAATTGTTGCATTTGATATAGCGTCTTATCTCGTCGTTGAGACTTCTGAAAGCGCTTCACCGAATATGCTGTAAATTGAGTTGACTCTACATTTTGTGGATGAAATGGTATAATTTAATATACTGCTTGTTTGCACACTCATTCTAACTTTGAGGGTTAAAAATGTTTTTTCAGAGCAGTCCAATGGCTCAGCAAGTATAAATGCTGTGTTTTGCTGAGCCATCTAGTCTACATTGGAATTCCCTGCCTCTATCCCTCGCTCCCATCCCCTGTCCCCCATCCATATTTAAATTCCTCTTAAAAGACTTGCTACTTTGACTGGATCTAAGGCTACCTCCCCTCATCCTCCCCCTCGTTCGCTATCCAATCACGCCATTGTTCAGCTCTGCGAGACCCTATCCCGCATGAAGGGCGCTATATAAATGCAATTTGTGGTTGTTGTGTTGAATCAGTAAATCACAGCTAGCCTCAGTGCCCTGTGAGGGTAGCCACTCTTGATGGGTATCAATGACCCACTTGCTGAAGGTGGCATTGAAGAGTAATAATAATAATAATCCTCCTTGGACGTATCGAAGCACTTCACAGAATTTACGGTAGAGTGTAGTGATTGTGTATTTTATAGGCAGAAAAGGCAGCCAACTTACACACGGCAATGTGCCCATAAACAGCCATGAATCGAATGACCCCAAAAAAACACCAGGGACAAATATTCATCTGTCAAGACTTACAGAAAACAGCTTCGCGAAGCTGCTGTGGGAGTTCTGCGTAACGTAAACCTGCATGTGGCAGTATCTCATTTTTTGAATTACTGGTGTTAGATGTTGAAAGGGCTGTGCCTCTCACTTAACCTATTAAACGGTGTTTTTCTGAATCATTCTACGCAGTCTGTTCAAGAAGCCAAGGTCACTGGACCAGCCTCATGCAATCCCTTGTAAGATTGGCTCACTCTTTCTAAAGCAATCCCGGCTGTGTTTTGTGTGTGTGTTAATGAACTGAACTATCTAAAGGTGACCTTCTTAAATGCGAACGCTGCATTTAAAGAGCTGATGGTGTTATTTACACCAAAAATAGATTTTTTTGGTTGCAAACCCAATTTCCATAAAGCGTGACTGTACACAGTGGATTTTTTNCCCATTATGCCCGCCGTGTTTCAGAACAATACAAAACAAACATGATTATAATCTGCACAAGACAATCAATGTAATGTGTGTACAGTGTAGAGCTCAATGGGAGAAAAATACACAGTAGCGGTCTCTCCTTTACTACAGCCGCTCCGTTACTGCTACACAACATGTGCGAGTGAGCAATAAATAGTGCAACATGTCCACAACAGCTGGCTGACTTGCCCCTGTACCGTGGCTGTCATCAGTCAGGTCACAGCTAACATCACTTCCTCTGTTTGCGTGTGTTCGAAGCAGGAAGTGAGGTTGATGGCAACCTAGTGACCCAGATGTGGGTAGCGAAAATGGCCAAGCTATAGATCACTGCTGCCGACATTTCCTGCACAGCGCGCAAGAAGAGACATTGACGGCAAACTAATGACCCTAAAGTGGGTTATTGTAGCAGAAGAGGGAAGAGAATATTGCAAGTTAAATCGATATTGAAAATTCCATCACAGTAAAGTGCAGTTATCTGTATATCAGAATTGCCCAATAAACTAAGAGACATCTCAGGCCAGGGGGAATCCAATAGAGCATAGAAGATGAATAATGGGATTTATAAGGTAAACCAAAATGAATACTTCCTGGATAAGGAGACACAGGTTCAGGGTTGTGAAGGACACTTCAGGGCAAACACCAGAAACGAGAGAGTAAAAATTGCTGGATTTCTAAGTGCATTCCGTTGCCTATTTAATGAATGCTTTGGAGAACATCACCAGGTGAGTGGTTTACTCCATTCAGGCTTTGAGCAGCTCCCCTATGTTTGAACCCTGAAATGCGTATACTATATTTTATAATTTAGGGCCTAAATATGCTTTCTTTAATTTTGCTTATCTGTCCACACAGAGTAGGTAAAAAATATTAACTTCCATCAATTGGCCTGTGGCTTTGGGCCTAACCTGCATGAATTCTAAAAGTTAATTTTATGCCCTGCATAAGATGCTTTATGCACCTTTAAGCTTGTTTACCCAGGTTTTTAGCTGTCTATAAGGACCAAAATCTCTGCTTTCCTAAGCCCCAAAAAAAATCTTGTAGCATCCAGGCAATGGAGAACTAATTGCTAAATTGTAATGATAGTAAGCATTTAGATTGCATTTATAATAATAATACTAATCCTTGCATTTGGTAACTCCACATTGGCCCCGTGCAATCTTTCAAATCAAGAAACAATTTCCATGCCGTGGAGGAACAACAAGAAACAGACACTGACAGAGACGCAGGATTCAGTTTCCTCCCCCTCTGCGCCCCCACAACACATTTAAATGATGAGCAGTTAGGAAATTAACATCAACAAGTTCAGTGGCCTATCCACGGAGCAGAGACACTTACACCTTGTGCCAATTTTTACTGAGGAATGATAATATAATTCAGGCGATGGAATTAATTGCATTTCAGAATGTGCTCATGACAAACCAATTTTTAAAACGTATCTTTCCCCCACAACCCCCCCCCCCTCCCCGCCTCCCACCAAAGCCCTTACCCCCAAAACTTTATTTATCTATCTACATTGAAACTCCTTCCATTCAATCCCCTGCTTCGGCTCTGACAAAGGGTCAATGTTCACAGGTGTTCCTTTCACAATTTAATAATTTTATAACGTAACAATGTTCATTTAAAAAAATTACATTTGATATAGCTTCTTTCACATCGGGAGGACTTCCCAAAATACTTCACATGATTTACTGTAAAGTGTGGTGACTGTGTATTTTGTGGGTGAAAATAGCAGCCAATTTGCATACAGTAATATCCCACAAACAGTCATGAAGTGACTGACCAATTTTATCTGAGGGATTGTTGGCCAGGACGCTGGGAGACACTCAATCTTTTCAAGTAATGCCTGCCAGCCCTCATTTTATCCAAATCTTCACAAAGAGGCACAGAAGAATTATTGATCAGACAGAGTAAACGTTTGTGCTGATGATTGTAGAGAAGGAACCCAGAATTCATAGAAACTCAGAAAGACGCCATTTTGTATTGTATTGTATTCAGTCCAGCCACCGCTTATATTCCACATGAGTGCCTATCCTAAATCCTAGCCTTAGGCCCAACAATCCGGGCCCTTTCCCTATATTCCTCAACTTAATTCTCCCTCAACCACATGTCTAATCTTTTTTTTTTGAATGTACACATGGTTGCCACAATCTTCTGACTTGGAGGTGAGAGTGCTACCATCTAAACCAGGCCCACACACCTTTTTACTGATGACTATAGGCAGCTCTCCAGATTCAACCCTCACTTTCTTCTCTCCGATTCCATCCTCATCCTCCTGATTTTGCTCCCCCCAACCTTGACTGTGCACTCTGCCCTCAATCCCACTGTCATCTCCCAACACCACCTCCAACATTCACTCCTTGACTCCCTGACACTGCACCACCTCCCTTCGAGTCCAAACATAATCTGCCAACTGTTCATGGAGTTCATAGATTCAAACAACCTACAGCTCAGAAACACGCCATTTGACCCATTCAGTCCAGCCAGTCCTTATAGTCCACACATGTGCCCATCCTAGAACCTAACCCTAGTCCCGTATTCCATCCCTTTCCCCATATCCCTCAACTTTATTCTCCTTCAAGCATGTGTCCAGTCTTTTTTTTTTTTGAATGTGCCCACTGCTGCCACCCCAACAACTGACTGTGGCAGAGAATTCCACACTCCCATCATTGTTTGTGCGAAAACCTCAGGCGCTGATAGCATCATCATCCATGGTTGCACACTCCACCTTGCTAAGCCAGTCCAGAACCTTGGGGTCTTGTTTGACCCTCAACTATACTTTCTACTCCACATCTGTGCCATGACCCACTCTGCCTTCCCCCACCTCCGCAACACCATCTGGTTCCACCATTGTCTCACACCGCAGGCCACTGAAACCCTCATACATGATTTTATTACATCAAGGCTTGACTATGCAAACTACTTGCTTGTCGGCCTCCCCAGCGCCTCGCCCCATAGGCTGTAGGTCATTCAGAACTCTGCAGCCAGGGTACTCTCCCGCACTAGGCCCCCTGACCCTATCACCCCCATCCTCGCCCGACTCCACTGGCTTTCCATCACACAGAGAATACAGTTCAAGATCCTGGTCCTCACCTTCAAAGCCCTCCATGGTCTTGTTCCCCCCTACCATCCTGCTCCCTCCCTCCGCTCAGTGGGCTCCGGCCTGCTTCATGTCCCCCGACTCTCCCGCCCCACCATTGGTGGGAAGGTTTTCTGCCACTCTGCCCCTACCCTCTGGAATTCCATCCCACAGTCCCTCCACCCCGCACCCTCCCTTGCCTCCTTCAAGACTCATTTCAAGACCCTCTTCTCTGATCGTGCTTTCGATCACCCTGCTTCTCCCCTGGCCTCCACCATCCCCAATCCTGATTATCCAGCGCCTTGGAACGTCCTCCTGTCGTGAAAGGCGCTATACAAATGTAATTTTGTCGTTGTTGTTAAAAAAAGCCAGTCTATCAAACTTTTCCCTTTAACTTCATTTGCCGAATTAGGTTGATCCACACATTGGGCTCCATGTTGGAAAATACTTCTTGGCCCTCGAATTGTGGAGGAATCTTTCCATCCAAAATAGGTTGTTCAAGTCTATGTGAGTCACACAAACGTTCTTACCTGATTCTTGGAGATATCGATAAACCAGGAAGTTTACTTCGTCACTAGTTATGCTCATTTTAGCCCCACCTCAAACGATGAGGTTTACACGCAGTGTAAACAACACCCTGTTTGGAGGGAAAGAAAATACAAATTGACTTAATCATTTCACAAAGTCATAAGAGCAGCAACAACAACAATAATCCTTGTGCTTGATACAAAACAACTAATTACACTGTATAGAGCTTTCACGTCGGGATGACGTCTCAAGTCGCTGGAGTTCTTGATGATTTAGCTCCTGTGACATCAAGAACTCCTCAAGTTGCTTGACAGACCCCTGCATTATCAAAATGGTCGCCAATCAGACCTTTCATGTCACCAGGCTGCCGCTGTCATCACTTGCACACACAAAGCCAGCCGACTGCTCCAGTGAGTATTTCTGGGAGTCACCAGGATGCCTTGGAGGCTTTCCACGCCTGCAGGAAGTCGAGCAATCAGTGACCGAAGCACTCCGCTCTCCCAGCCCACCCTGGGCACACGGGGAAACCACACTATATACAGACCCATGTTATACACAGACCAACTGCAGCCCCCAAGAATGTTGTGATCCTCTTAACTAAACACGTGCTGGAGATTGAACCTGGCAGCTTTGTGGTCTGTATGCAACAGTTCCAAGTCACAGGGGGGATGTTACTCAGGAGCCAGTTTGTTTTGTTTATATTTTATGGTTTGTTCACAGAATTCAGTCAACTACCAAATGCTCTGACTCTGTGATTGCCGCACTTTCCTATGCACCACCCAGGACACACAGGATATTACTTGTTGCCGGTTAGACTGTGTAATGGAGAACAGGTGCCTGATTTTGAATATGAGGGGACATACAGTTCTCAAAAGGGATCAACCAGATTGCCTTAATAATGCACATTCAAATTTGTTTCCAATTCACAATATGAACCCAAATTCTGACCACCTGGCTTCAAATCAGACACAATTCAGAACTTATATCTCTCGGAGTCTAATCTATACTTGGAAGCACACGCGCTGAATTGTAATTTGATCCTGTCCGATGTAATTATGTGTTGCTAGAATTAACTCTTATGGGGATATTCGCCTCTTCAAGGTTAAATTTACCAGCTTTTGGCAGCGAGCGCATATTAATCGTGTCAGCCTGGCTGAGTTGGTAATACTCCCACCTGAGTTGCAGGGATGCAGGTTCAACAACAATAACAACAACAACAAATCTCTTTGAGCTCAGCCAAAGTTGGCCCAAAGTGATTTGTTTACCTATTCTATTTACAATCACGTTGCCATTTTCAACTGCCCACAGTCCGCTCACTGACTGACTGGTATCCAGCAGAGAGGTGAAGCCAAGTCGGCCAAACCCACACTTTTTCCACAAATCATCCTTGGAGCTTACTGATTTTAATGGTATCAGTGGCAGCAGCAGAACTCACTGTCTCCAGTTTCTCTGCACAGTGAGCCAACACGCAGCTTATTTTGCAGACTGTTTGGCATTAGGTTAACCTCTATGCCATCAACCTCGAGTTCTCTCCCAACGGATGCAATAGAATGTGTTTTTCCCAACTGCAAAATTCTTAGCAGAGGGTGAAATCTAGACATTTGGCAACACTGGACATTTTGTACAATATTAATAATAATCCTCACATCGTAGAATCAAAGAATCTTACAGCACAGAAGGAGGCCATTCGGCCCATCGTGCCTGTGCCGGCTCTTTGAAAGAGCTACCAACTAGTCCAACTCCCCCGCTTTTACCCCATAGATAGAATCGTCGCATCGTTGAGATGTCTCAAAGCGCTTTACAGGATTTAGTGCAAAGTCTGGTGACTGTATTTTGTAGGGGATGCTTATCGCCAATTTGTGCACAGCAACTTCCCATAAACAGCCATGAAGTGAATGACCAATTTTATTTGGGGAAGAGTGTTGTCAGCCAGGGCAGCACTTCAATAGGAACTGACCTAGTTATGCAGTTATATAGAGCACTGAAAGTAGCCTTTTGCTAACTCTTCACAGTAGCAAAGGAATAGCCATGATAACATTGTGGTTAACATAGTAACCCACACTTTTACCAACTCATGTCTGGTTTCCGTTCCTGAATCACCGGAACAGTGAAACCTCAACGCAAAAGTTACCCGTTTGAACATTACGATCAATGATTGATTGTTCTAAGCACCGTCTGTATTCTGAGGTGGGTGAAAATACACTAAAAAGCGTAGGGACGTGGGCATACCTAGGACCGGAAAGGGCCATGTGTCCAAAATATTTCCTTCAAAATAGTTTAACTGCATTCCAGCACACACACACACACACATACACAGTGGATTTTTCTAATTCAGTGCAAAGATTATGAATTTTAATTAGATTTTTTTCACACAATACTCGAGCAATTTTGAGGTGGGGAGAATGTGATATGTGATAATGAGGGGTAAGTTTGCAGTGTGTGACAAGGATTTTGCAGTCATTGCTATGCAGTATTTAGCAGTTGGTTTGAGCATGGAACATTCTTCCCCCCCTTCTCCCCCCACCCACCCCTCGAATCTGGACGCTACCCCACTCCCCCTGTCTCAGTGTCCAACCCTGTCTCTGTATAAAGAGCTCCAAGATGTTACCCTATAAGAAGGACGCTATCATATCCCTGAGGTCAAAGAAACCCTCTTATAACACTGTGTTTGGTCCATAAACTCACACCTTCGCGTTATAGCAAAGCGGCTATAAAAATGACCTCCATCCAGTACTTCTGTCCGGCAGATTCCTTGCGACACCACTTTCTGCCCATTGGCTAAACAAAGAGCTGGAGATACGGTCAAAGAGGTGGGGTTTTGAAGACGGGGAAAGAGTTACAAAATTGGCTAGACAGTGAGGCAAGCCTCTGAGTTTTGTTACACAACAAGAACTAAATATACATGGCAGAACAGAATGGAAAAAATCATATTAAAGGGTATGGAAGAACGAAAAGGGAGGGAGTGGGGAAGGAAAGGGGGGAGAGAAAGGGATTGTAGGATGACAGTAAATAGCTCCAACGGGGCAGCTATCACACACATGACAGGTTGAATGGCTTTTTTCTGTGCTGTAAACATTGTGTAATTGTATTCCATGAGATATGTGCTTGAAGCAGCAATGTGTTGAAGCCAGTCAATTGGAGGTAGCTAATGTCTAGATGTCATAGCTACTATCAATGATTGATTATTATTTTCACTGTTTCTGAGCACTCTGTTCCCTGAAGCGATCTTTATGAGCCTTTTCTCTTGCGTCTTACCCGAGTGACAAGTTTTATTTCCTCATTTACAGTCTCAGGTAGGGTGGAAAGTTAGATTTATTTTGAATAATGCGACATTGATGGAACTACCCTGGTCTTTGCCACAATATAAGCACAATACATCACCTTTTATTTACCTACAGCACATAGGAAAGGAAAAAAAATACTCTCAAGAAAATATGCAAAAGAAATGCAGCAGCTTCTGGGATAACTGAGCGATGTGCTCCGAGGGACAGTACATTTTGCTCACAAATACATAGTCAATTCACTTTACAACATATCCTGTGAAGCGCTTTGAGACATCTTTATGATGTGATGAGGCGCTATATCAAATGCAAGGATTATTATTATTATTTATTACGTATAGTGCACTTTGACAATCGGGGGGAAGGCAGGGAGAAGTACAGTTTTAATTGTCTCTATTTACGGAGTTAGGCTCCGCCACTGTTAAGTGCTCTGAGATGCTACCTTGCGTGGAGGGTGCTATATAAGTGCATGTTGTTGTTGTTAGCAACTACCTCCATTCTCTACAACTCCTACCCAGAAATTTTGTAACTCTTTCCCATCTTCAAATAATAATAATAATAATCCTTGAATTTGATATAGCGCTTTTCACGTCAGGAGGACTTCCCAAAGCGCTTCACAGAACACACTGTAAAGTGAATTGACTGTATATTTGTGGGCGAACGCGGCAGCCAATTGCGCACAGCAATGTCCCACAAACAGTCGTAGATTGAAAATGACCAATTTATTATTGTTTTTGGTTTTGGAGGGATTATTATTAGGCTCTGTGTGGAGTAAGGAAACTTGCCCAAGGTTTCGCCCTCTGCCTGGAATTGAACTCAGGTCTCTCACTTGCAAAGCGAGTGCTCTAACCACTGAGCTACAGGACTCCACCTCTTTGACCGCATCTCCACTATCTACCTCCTACTCACTGTCCCTGTAAAGTACTCTGAGACACCATTCTCTGTGGAAGGCATTATGCTAGTGCCAGAAAACAGTCCTTCCGTTTGATAACAGTGCAGCCTTATTTTGTCAACATTTTTTAAAGGGCTTCAGAGTTTTGTTGTTCTTGTTGCATTGAATTTGCCATTATAAAGGAGGTTACACCAAGCAAATGGGACCGTGTTGCCACATTTGTGTGTAAAAGCAGTCACTACACTTGGCAATAGCACCACGAAAACTCCAGGAGAAGTGGCGGCATGATAAGGCGCTATTAAATAAAGTAAGTGGGATTAGAGGAGATGGCTGCCATGCAAAGAAACACTTGGGAATACCTAGGTGTGATGTTGCAAAGTCTTAAAATGTGGACAACATATGCTATGAAGCGCTTTGAGACATCTCAACGATGTGATGAAGTGCTATTACAAATGCAACGATTAATATTATTTATTAAGTATAGTGCGCTTTGACAATGGGGAGAAATTTACAACATATGCTATGAAGCGCTTTGAGACATCTCAACAATTTCATGGTGCTATTGCCAAATGTAGTGACTACTTTTACACGCTTTTGCAAGTAGTGTGGACTTGATGGGCAAACGGCTTTTAACCTGGGCATTCCTAGGGTCTTGATGCCATCTCTCATTGTACACTTCTCTTAAATTGATCTGCATACATTTGTAATTGTAATACATTGCGCAAATTGACTGCCGCGTTCACCGACAAAGTACACATTCACTACACTTTACGGTACGTTTTGTGAAGCAGATTCACACTTGATGTGAAAGGTGCTGTATCGAATGCAAGGCTATTATTAATCTGATAACATGAGTTCATATGGTTTATTCCCATTGACTATCTTTCTCTTTCACCATGTTACTTTCATTACTCGTCAGAGTTGGATGAAAATCTC